GACCAAGTTTTGTTTGGGTTTACAGCTTGAGTACATAAAAGATGGTATCCTTGTGCATCAGAAAACTTATACAGAAAAGGTACTCAAGAAGTTTAATATGGACCAGGCCTATCCATTGTCCAGCCCTATGGTCGTACGGTCCTTAGACCCAAAGAAAGATCCATTCCGACCAAGGGAGAAGGACGAGGCCGTACTGGGTTCGGAGGTGCCTTACCTCAGTGCTATTGGAGCTGTAATGTACCTGGCTAGCCACACTAGACCAGACATTAGTTTTGCTGTGAATCTACTTGCTAGATTTAGCTCCTGTCCGACTTTAAGGCATTGGAATGGTGTGAAACATTTGTTGAGATATTTGCAAGGAACCAAGGATCTTGGTTTGTTCTACTCATATCGACCAAAGGAGAGTTTGGTCGGGTACACGGATGCCGGGTACTTGTCTGACCCGCACCAGGCTAGATCTCAAACGGGCTACATCTATTTGTACGGTGGTGCAGCAGTTTCTTGGCGTTCCAAGAAGCAGACACTTGTAGCCACATCTTCTAATCATGCTGAGATCATAGCCATGTACGAGGCTAGTACAGAACTTGTGTGGTTGAGGAATATGACCAACCATATCCGAGTGGGAAGTGGTTTGAGCATTGGGAAGGACGAGCCAACAGTTATCTATGAAGACAATGCAGCTTGCATACATCAGCTCAAGGAAGGTTACATCAAAGGAGACAGAACGAAGCATGTCTTGCCCAAGTTCTTTTTCACCCACGACCTGCAGAAGGCCCAAGAAGTCCGGGTGGTCCGAGTTCAGTCCAGCAGCAACTTGGCCGACATGTTCACCAAGTCTTTACCCACCAAGACGTTCAAGAAGTTCGTGTACCAGATTGGGATGCGTTCACTGAGCCATTTTCAGTGATGCATTCATCAGGGGGAGTATCATGTGTTGTACTCTTTTTCCTTGTCTGAGGTTTCCATTTTTCCCACCTTGGGTTTTTGGTTTTCCTAGATAAGGTTTTAACGAGGCAACATTAAGCATGGTACAAGCCNTTGGGATGCGTTCACTGAGCCATTTTCAGTGATGCATTCATCAGGGGGAGTATCATGTGTTGTACTCTTTTTCCTTGTCTGAGGTTTCCATTTTTCCCACCTTGGGTTTTTGGTTTTCCTAGATAAGGTTTTAACGAGGCAACATTAAGCATGGTACAAGCCCATACGGTTAGGCCATTCAAGGGGGAGTGTTATGGACCAATTAGTGAATGGGCCTTAACCATTAGATAGATTAGGAACTGGCCCAATGGTCGTGTGTGACCCATTAGTCTAGGCGGCCAGGACTTTACCATTTATGTGTATTTCCAATTCCTTGTTACTTTAGGAATTGGATGTTTTCCATTTATCTTGTTCTTGTATCCCATATATATATGAAACCTCTAAAGCATGAATAAGACACAGATTTCACTTTGGTTTACAACATATTCCACTTAATTGTAGCAATTACTTATTTTCTTCAAATCGAACCAAATCAAGTAGCGATTGCATTTGCGCCCAGCCAGGTCACTGGGTCTCTCGGCCCATAGTTATTATTGCAGTCAAGTTTCCTTTGTATTGGGCCTTTAAAATAATCATTGAATATAGTTAACTACATTTTAAGATCGTTGAAAGTTAAGATCACAGAGAAAAAGAAATGCTTGCGAAACAAACGCCATTGTCAAAACAAATGCTCTCAAAGCTATTACAAACAAGCTCTTCAAAGCCGAAGCAGCTCAAGAAGATCCATGCCCTTGTACTAACATCCGGTTTATCTGTCAAGAACAGCCTCTTAACCCAGCTGTTAGAGAATCTCATACTCATAGGTGACATGTGTTACGCACGCCAGGTGTTCGACGAAATGCACAAGCCGAGGGTTTTTCTTTGGAACACTCTTTTCAAAGGGTACGTCAAACACAAGCTTCCGTTCGAAAGTGTCGTGCTTTATCAAAAAATGCGTGATCTTGATGTTCGTCCTGATGAGTTTACTTACCCGTTTGTGGTGAAGGCGATCTCTCAGCTGGGTGTGTGGCCCTGTGGGTTTACGTTTCATGCCCATGTGGTGAAACATGGGTTTGAGACTCTTGGGATCGTTGCAACTGAGTTAGTGATGATGTACATGAAGTTTGGTGAGTTGAGTTCGGCTCAGTTCTTGTTTGAGTCTATGCAAGGGAAAGATTTAGTGGCTTGGAATGCTTTTATTGCAGTTTGTGTCCAGACGGGAAACTCGGCTTTAGCTCTTGAGTATTATTACAAAATGTGTGCGGATGCTGTTCAGTTTGATTCTTTTACAGTCGTGAGTATGCTTTCTGCTTGTGGTCAGCTAGGCTCTTTGGAGATTGGTAAAGAAGTTTATGATCGTGCGAGGAAAGAAGGTATTGATTGTAATGTAATCGTCGAAAATGCAAGGCTTGATATGTACTTGAAGTGTGGTAGCACTGAAGATGCAAGGTTCTTGTTCGAAGAAATGGAACAAAGGAATGTAGTTTCTTGGAGCACGATGATTGTTGGATATGCAATGAATGGGGATAGCGATGAAGCCTTGGCATTGTTCAATATGATGCAGAGGGAGGGGATAAGACCGAACTACGTGACGTTTCTCGGGGTTTTATCTGCTTGTAGCCATGCTGGACTAGTGGATGAAGGGAAAAGGTATTTCAGTATCATGGCTAGATCGAATGATAAGAATCTTGAGCCGAGGAAAGAGCATTATGCGTGTATGGTTGATCTATTAGGACGCTCTGGTCTTCTAGAGGAGGCTTATGAATTTATTAAAAAGATGCCAATGGAGCCTGATGCAGGTATCTGGGGAGCCTTGTTGGGTGCTTGTGCTGTTCATCGTGAAACGAAATTGGGCCAGGAAGTAGCAGACCTACTTGTGGAAACAGCTCCAGACATTGGTGCCTACCAAGTGTTACTGTCTAATATATATGCAGCTGCTGGTAAATGGGATTGTGTTGACAAAGTAAGGAGTAAAATGAGGAAGCTCGGCACTAAGAAGGTTACTGCGTATAGCTCTGTTGAATTTGAAGGCAAAATTCATTTTTTCAATAGAGGAGACAAATCACATCCCCAAACAAAGGCAATATATGAGAAACTGGAGGAGATCTTGAAGAAGATAAGGAACATGGGGTATGTTCCCCAGACTGGTTCGGTGTTTCATGATGTGGAGACAGAGGAAAAAGAGTCTTCGCTCAGTCACCACAGTGAGAAGCTAGCGATTGCATTTGGACTCATCAATGGGAGAGCGGGAGATCCTATTAGGGTAATGAAGAACTTGAGAACATGTGAAGATTGCCACGTTTTCGCCAAGTTTGTTTCCAGGCTTACTTCGAGAGACATCATCATGAGAGATAAGAACAGGTTTCACCACTTCAGAAATGGTGTTTGCTCTTGCAGAGAGTTCTGGTGACTTCACTTATTCATATGTTCTGATTGGTAAAATAGTTCTGATCATCCACAGATTTTGAATGTCTCTGAAGACCAGTTTATAACAAAACCAGCTTCTTGATCTAAAAAAACTTGCATGTGGCAACAAAGTAACAAACGGTGACGCTTTTCTTTCGTCCTTATGCAGTCAGATGCCTGAAACAGAGAGAGACTCTATTGAATAAGGTAGACAAAAGCTACGTCAGTTTGTACATTAGACTCATTATTGCTTACTTGATTTTTAATAGATCCATTAATTATGTACATTTTTGCCTGCACCATTTTTTTTGACAATAAATTGTTTTGGTATCTTTCTTAAGAAATGTCATTGATTTCTACAGGTCTTTTATTGCATCTCTGGTGGAAGTAAAAATAGCTGGAATTAAACTACCTTGATACCTTTTTGCAGGAGTTTAATAAGGGTCAAATTTGTGAAATTAGAATTCAATGTTAATGTCAGTCAATTAGATGCTATTTTGACACTGATCAAAAACTGAGTTTGCCTCTGTTTATGGTTTTCTATGAGAGTTGAAAAGCATGGACTTGAAACTTGAAAGAAGACAGAAGACTAAAGACTCTCCTTTGTGAAAGACAGAACAAGAGACATGAATGAAACAGAGAGATGGAGACAAAACAGAGAACATAGGTTATATCACTTGGGAAGCAAGAACATCTCTGCAACAAGGGTTTTTTTTTTCAGTTTAGTAAAACTAAGGTAAATCTAAATCCCTCCGTTAAAAGTTACTTGCTTTAATTAGTAAAAAACACTTTGGAAATTGTATCAATACACATATAGTATAGTATCTATCTATCCCCTTCTCTCTCTCCTCTCAAAAACATAAATTCGTTATTATTTTCCCCGGAGACAACGGCTATTAATACTCCTGAACTGTACATACTGCACCATCTCCAAGCACAGAGGCAGAATCTAAAATTTTAAAATTGCAAATTAAAAATTTATGCAGAGAGAACAATTAAAGCGTTGGAGGTGAGATATCAAAGAGTAGTACAGATATGAGAAGGTTCTCCCAGGAATCAAGGGTCAAGATCGTTTGATAAGACCCATAAGATAAATAACAACTACTACAATTTTATAAATTAACACAGAGAGCTAATTCAATAAAATAAATTAAATATCTTTCCTTCTTTCTTTTTTCTCCTCCTTCTACTTCATCTCTTTCTCACTATCCAAAGAAGTCATATCTTTTTGTTACTTAGACTTCACTCAAAGAAAGAAAAAGTAGTTTTATCTTTTGGGTTTATCCTCTATTACTACTGAAAGTTAACACTCTTTCTCTCGTAAGAACTATTATTATAGTTAGTCAAAAACCCATTTTTCTCATCTGTTTCTTGAATCCAAACCTGCTCTGCACTACCAAACACCGACAAAAAGAAAAGAAACTTCTTTCGAAAGAAAACAGAAACATACTCAAATATTTCCACTTACCTCATGGGCTTCTCAGAAAACTCATAAAAACCTTTTCTTTTCACTCATATCAAACAGTCATGGAAGATTCTGTAAGTAAAGAGCGTGACAAAAGAAGAAGAAGAAGAGGAAGACGAGCAGCCACCTCCACCATGTTCTTGTGGGGAATCTTGTTCTTTGCTCAGTTTTGTTTGTCTTCATCAGCTCTTTCCCCTGATCAGTATAATCACCAATCATACCCTTCACCAAGGAAAGCTGGGCCTTTCCACAAAACGGCCTCGTTTCAGTCCCCTAGAGCTAGAGCCTCTGTGACGTTCATGGGTCCACGTCGAGAAGAAGAAAACATAGATGATGTTTATAATGACGACAAGAGACTAGTTCACACAGGTCCTAATCCTCTTCACAACTAAAAACTAGTTAGCATCACGTGTCTGTCTTTGAGCAATGCCCTTGAGATCGTGTAATATCTGCTTTAAAATGTCTCGTTACTTCGGTAGAGTTTTTAAAATGTAATTTTATGAGATATATAGATCATTATTGTTAGCCTTCTTGTCCCTTATGCTAAGAAGTAATGATCTTGTGTTCTCTTTATTGTAACTCTTTTGCTTCAATGGTAACCATCGACCTTCAAGATCCGAGAATTACTGAAAATAATTTTTAATTTATTTATTTAGTTAAATCAGTATGTTTAGAAGTTCCATGTTCTAAGAAAGTAAACAGTAAGTCAGAAGATTCGGATGCATGGATTTCTTCCAAGGATCATGTTCTTTTGCATAAAAGAAGGTTGTCTTTTTGTGATAAGTGATTAGTTTAATGCTATATGTATGTATTTTATTGTTTTCTAAAACTTGATGTTAGATTTGTTCAAAGATTCCAAACTCCTAAACTATATAGTACTAATAAAGTTGATGTAAATCGTATAGTTGAACGTCCATTTTAAAATATATAAATGAACATGGACTGCTTCTTAGCTCTTGAAAAAGGGAGAGCCAAAGACTTAAAATTTGGTGAATTTCATGCATAATAACCATTTAATCATAGCTGCCCATTGTGTTGGATTTTGTATTTTTCATAGTATAAAAGTGAGAATATAATAGGCTGATGGTAAAAAAAAAATACGAGATACTTTTAGGTGGTGCATTAAGTACTAGATACATGTGTGGGTGTAATTTTCTTAGATGACATGGATGTAAATTGTCTACTTATATATGCTGAGTAATATACTACGTCGAGACCCTAATAATAGAATAGTCGATAAAGAATTACATATCATAAAATTAATATTTTTGGAATTAATAATTACTCTTATTATTTATATCAGTAGGCCATTGATGATTTAGCTTTAATGGTTTTTATATCATTTGTTTGTGTTTGAACTTTGAACTAATGCGTACGTCTCTCGATGCCTGCCTGTCCCCAGTGACCTTCATATTTATTTTCTCACAATTATATACTTACAAAACACATTTAATGCTCACATGAATACTAGTACTACTAATTCTCTCACGGATTAATGATTCTCTTTGGCTAAGTAGACTTAAATGCCGAATTTCAAATCAACCACATTAAAATTTCAAATTGCTGAGGCAAAAAGAATCAGTTGTTGACCAAAAAGTTAAAAGTTTAATTTTCTTTTAGAATAAAGGAAACATTGATTTGAAATAAACCACATCAAAATTGCATAAAATGAAAAAATTAAAGTAAAATGTAAACTTTGTTAGTCAGCCTTATACTTTATTTAGGTTCATTTAGTTAAATAGGTTAGGGATGATAGAAGTTGTTGCATGTGGAATGAATGTTTTTGCACTGTGGGAGCCATAAATGGAGAGATTTAAGGAGCTATAGTGTCATTCAACTACCCCCATTCCACCTCCATATTTTATTGTTACATTCCATTTTAAATAATGAATTTGGAAATTTATATACTGATTTTTTGGATTCTGTGGAAAAACAAGCTTTTCAAAAAATTTATTTTGTTTATAGTTTCGTGTATATATATATATATATTTTTTTTTTTTTTCATTTTTATCTGGGAAATGTCTAGGTATGGCTGGGAAAATAGTCATGGGCTATTTGTGGGTCTGGTCAAATTTGAAGTCCAGTTTAGGTGGAGAAGAGAAGGGCTCAACCCACGCTCGTGTATTGGGCTCAAATGTTGATTTTGCTAAAATGCTACAATTGCGAGCATTGCGCGTGTTTGTTTTTTACCTAAACTGCTCTCAGCTCGTAAGCGATGCTTTTAAGAATATATTTTCTTTGCACAAGTTACAAAATTAACATGGTTAAAAAGTAATTCAGTGACCCATGTTTAATCAATCACTAATGAATTTGGTCTAATTATGGGGTTCCAAAAAAATAGTTCTAATTATGCAACTTTCCGCGCCCTTTTTTTTTTTTTTTTTTTTGAAACACAGCATTATATTAAATTAAAGAAGGTCTGGGCCCGACTGGGCTAGCCCATACAAATAGAAGCAGAAGAAACAGAACAAAGAGCAACACAGGCCCGTTTAGCTAAAAAGTCAACATCCCTATTCTGAGAACGAGGAATGTGGAAGAAGGCGATCGAAGCAAAGCTAGAGGAGAGATGATCAATATCCCTGAGAATACCGTAGATCTCCTTTACTTGTAGCTTGAGATTAATAGCTCTGATGAGCGTTAGGCAGTCCGAGAGAACTGTGATGTTTTCAAAACCCGATTTTGCGGCGGTGATAATTCCAAGGCGAAGGGCTAAAGCTTCGGCTATCAGAGGAGATGCCACCGATGTCCGCCCCTGTGACCCGGAGCTTACACTCTTCAAGCGATCATCTTTCATTACCCATGCCAGCCCTGCTTTACAATCCTCGGCTTTCCAAGCAGCATCTGTGAAAATCGAAATCATCCCAGCCATCTTGGTACGAGAGGGGAGAGGATTCACTTGTGCAAAAGGTTTATTGCTAGGTGCCGCAGTAGCAGGCTGAGCTAGTTCCCACTCTCTTGCCAGGCTCAACCCTTTAGACGCTAGTTCAATTGGTCTCACCGTCTTATCTTCAAAGAGGAGCCTGTTGCGGGCCGTCCAGAGAACCCAGCATATCCATGGGAGAACATTGTGCTTAATACCCACCGGAGGTAAACAAAACACTTTGCGGAACGCTACTACCACTTCTTTAAAATTTGCCCTGACAGCTATGTGAACTGTTTGATTAAGTGGGACATTTTTCCAGACTTCTTTGGCAAAAGCGCAGTGGAAGAAGATGTGGGAGGCATCCTCTGGTTCTTTGCATCTTGGGCAGAGGGCATCCAGTCCCATACCACGTTTCTGAAGATTTTCCCCAAGGGAAAGAGCTCCTTGGATCACCGACCAAAGGAAGACTTTCAGTTTAGGTGAGATAGAACCTGCCCATACGTCTTTTATCCAAGAGAAATCCTCTCGATTTGTTCCTTCTTGAGTCATCGCTTCTGATTCATAAATTGTCTTCGATTTTGCTGCAGTGTTATAGCCCGACTTTGTAGAATAGATCCCTGAAGCTTGTGGGATCCAAATAAACGAGTCTTCCGCACCAACTAATTATGCAACTTTCCGCGCCCTAGTTAAGTTTTCTGACTCATGTTTACTCTGTCACTTTTGCTTTTGCAGGTTATTATACAAGTTGCATCTATTTATAAGAAAAATTCAATACATACAAGTGTAAATGTATCTTTACTCTCTGCCTTTATATGTATACGTTCACACATATTTTGGTTAATCTATAAAGGCAAAGTATGCTAAATAGTCGGAGTTGTTTCTACCATTCAAGACGCTGCTTCAAAGAGAGAGATTGAAGGATCGATGAAATGGATGTGAATAAGGAAACACAGAGTCTCTGATGGTAAAAATAGGTTACAGAATCTAAAAGGAAGAAAGATGAAGTTTTGAAATGGAGGATGTGTGAGGGGTCGAAAGAGTTAAATAGGGTTTGATAAGAGAGAAAGGGGGGAGGATGTGCGATTCTTCATCCGCAAGTAAAGCAAACACTTTGAAGCACCGAAACTATCTATCTACTCTTCAGTCAGCTGGGTATGTTTGTTATTTCTTTGGCACGGCAAAAGAAAATAAGCTTGTTAATGATATATATCCTCAAGCTAATCATTATAAATTGGGGTGTAATTAATTGAACCAACGTCGAAAAGTAGGCACATTGGATTAGTCTCCTGAATTTATTTTAATATAGTTTAATTTTAAAATATTATCTATTTCATAATATAATTTTTTTCTTAAAACAATTCTTTAAAATATAATTTTTCTTCCCAATTTATGCATTTTATATTATTAAACTATGTGTTTTTCCTGCACCATGTGCAATAATAATTTTTTAAATTTAAACTATAATTTTTTATTATTATTTTAGATTTTATTATTTTCTTATCGATATTTCATATAAATTTTGATGTAATTGAACATGAAATTAAATTCAAATGAAAATTTGTTTCTGTAAACTAATATTTAAGAATCAATATATATATATATATATATATATTTAAAATTATAATCTTAGATAGATTTTTATCTATTTCCTTTGGATAAAATATATTAAATCAGTTTGTATAAAATTAATTAAAAATTGGTATGAAAGTTGTATAATTATCAAAAGTATAATTAAACAGTATTTCAATAAAATTTAGATATATAAAAGAAGCTACTAATATTATGCTTTAAAATTTTTAATTTAGTAAAAAAAATCGAAATCATATTCACTAATAAAACGTTATAATCATAAAAATAAATAAAAATGTTTCGAAAGTTGTAAGATATTGTTATGTTTCTATTATTATATTATATAATATTAAATTTGAATAAATTTACTATAATGATGATGTATAATTTACCACTATAGTATAAAAATTTTACCAAAAATATAAATAAGTAATATATATAATTATCTATGTCATATTAAATTATAAGCATGTCATCTTTCTAATATGCCATGTCACATTAATTTAGAGAAATTGATTGTAAAGATGATATCTGTCAAAATCACTTCTCAAATAATGTATATGAGACATTTTAAGTCAATTATACTCATGTAATTTTAATGATTTGTTTGATTATATTTAATAAAACTTTTGTTTTTGAATATCTCTACTTTTAGAATAATTTTTTTACATTATTAAATAGTTTCACCAACAAAACAGAAAACTAAGTTTCTAGTATTTTTCTTTAACAACAAATATTCATTATAGACAAGGTTAGGTTGCTCTTTGTTTGTTTTTAGGTAAATTATTAACAAACAAGTAGATAAACTAAACGTAAATTATTTGGTATGATATTTTCGAAACCAGGTTCAACTGTTTGACAAAAGATATCGTTGAAAATTAAACAAAAAATTAAATTAAATACATATGGATTTAGTCTTTACAACAATTAAATATTGGTCGTCTGTTTTCATATGGGTTAGTCTTCTAATCTATTCAAATAAAATACAATATAAAAATAACCTTAGTTTAATGTGGAAAGAACATAAACCCCATCCAAAAGGACTAGGGTTCGGACTTTCTTTTGTTAGATTATGGGCTAATTAGTATGCACCAGGCTTCCTAATCCAAAGACATGTTTGACATGATTGTTTCAGGTTTGTTCAATGAGCTAATCACTGGAGGATTATGCCTAATGAGCT